GACACCGGGCCGGGTCCCCCTCGCTCTAGGCTGATTGCTCTGGCCGTCCCGCTCCCTTCGGAGAGGCCCCGCTGGGCCCGCCCCCCAAACCAGCGCCCGGGGGAGTCCCCGGCACCTTCACCGCCGGCTACCGTTTCTTTCCCGCAGGGGTTGTACCGCCACCCTGGGCCGCGGCCTACGCACCGGCCCCCAGAGGTTGCAGGAGCTTGCGAAGGCGGCGGCCACGAAGGAGGCGGAGAACCAGAGCGCGACCGACCTGAGGTGAGGCGGCCAGGCCGCGCCGGGAGGGCGCTGCCATTTGCCACGTACTGGGAGGTGTTTATCGCCTTCGGCGCTTTTTCAGCCAAGGAAGGAAAGCAAGTGGCTTGACTCAATCACAAACGCAGCTTGTGTCTTTCGGAGGCTTGGTCCCTTCTTTCTTTCCCACTATGAAATAAAACTTTGCAAAATTTAAAGAGTGTGTTCCTGATAACACTTGTTTTGCTCCTCAGCCCTTTAATCCTGCAGAGGAACTCCATGAGGTGGGATGGAAAGGTCTATGAAGAGATCCCAATAGCTCACATCAAAGCTACATATAACAAGTAAGCAAATGAGCTGCTCCATTCCCAGTCTGACGGAAAATGAAAGCTTGTAACACACCCAGGCTTTGGGCAGTCATCATTTTGATCAACAGTCTCAAAAAAAGGGGAGTGGTCATGACTGGGGAGATGATAATACTGAATTCAAACCCCAGTGCTGTTCAGGGAGCATAACTGTCCTTATAGTGTCTTTAACAGTAATAAGATTGTTACTACATGTTTTGGCTGCATTCTGATACGAAAAATTAGATGCTGATGGCTTTAGTGGCAGGTTACTTCCACCCCTCTGCTCTAACACTACTGCTGTATTCTCCATGAGATTGTTGTGTCTCATTAGTGATCCCTAGTGTGGTATTTTACCGTTTCCTAAAGCTCTTTTAAGTTCTAGAAATGTTTTGTGCCGTTTTCCTATAAATAGAAGAGTTAAAATGTTCACAGTGAGGGGTGGGTCTGAAAGGGCTGAGCAGTCTCTGAGGTATTCCTGGATAAAATATACCTTTTCTAGAAAGGTTTTGCCACCTCACTCATTTTCTCTAGAAGGACCTAGGAGGTCACTGCTGGGAGGTCTCTGCAGCTAGAGTGAGTGGGATACCTCAAACCTGAGTGCTGAGTTCGGGTGGCTTGGAGACAGGAGATGGGAGTTCTGTGGTGAGCCATGCCAGTAAGCTGAGTGAGAAGAGACTGGAGAATAAAGCTTTGTTCTAGCTTGCTTCTTTCCTCTTTCTGTAGCACCCACATCCAAGTGGTCAGCTTTGACAACCAGCCGTTTGCCCGTACGTCCTGTGGCACTGAAGGCTTCCAAAATGCCAAGAAGGGAACTGCCATCGCGGCACAGACCGCAGCCATTGCAGCAGCAGTGGTGAGTCCCCACTGATCTCGCCCTCCCAGAGGGGAGCACTGACTGCATCCCCCACTACCTGGGTACACACCTCCCTCGCTCATAGGCAGCCATCCAAAACTCTTCCTTAGTGCTCAAGCAGCACACTGCGGTTTGCTGACAGTTTCCCCAGCTTCATCTGACACACTGCATATCTTCCCACAGACAAAGCGTGTTCAAAACAGCAGTTAGAAATGTCCAGAGGGTCAACTTAGCTGTGTACGTTGTGATTGGGAAATGTAACTTGGAGCCTGTCCTGTTCTAGCTCCAGTTTGCATAGCTCCTTTTTATTAAGTGAACATCTCTCTGCCATTTTGGACATGTAGCCCCTGAATCAGCAGCAGTTCAATTTTGGCACTGGGGGGGACAAAGAAGCGGCTGTAAGTACTGGCTGAATGCTTTCTATTTCCCCTCTGCTACAGGAGAACTAAGCTGGTGGCAGCAGTTCCAGTCAGAGAAAGTGATGTCCTTGCACATGTAGTTTCCAGCTGCATACAGTTTACTGTAATTGTTCCTAAAAAAACATGCGGGTGCCTGGGTGGCAGGAGAAGATGAGGCTGGCTGTGTCACAGTCCTCATTACAACAGAATGAGGCAAGGTTAAACTGAAAATCCTCGTCCTAAATTAGGTGGAACTCTCTAGCCTTTCATGTCAGGCATGTTTGATGCTGCTGCTGGCCAACAGTTTCTTGTGGTCGACTCAGAGAAATATAAGAACATCTTCACTATTAATCTGTGCTTATCAGAGCCTCAAAATAGCTGCATAGCTGCGCTTGGCCAGATCTATTCTGTCATTGTTCGAGTTGTTAGTACATGAATTGTACCAGAACACAAAAAGCGAGAGGCCCAGAGGAGCTCCATCCACGTGGTGGCAGCACAGCTATGCTTTACAGCAGGAGGTTTTCATTTCCAATTTGCAAGCCCCTAGAATTTTTAGACTGAAGGTGTGGACTCCTGCACAGCAAATATAAAGCTTGGCTGCTTTTCTCATTCACCCTCTAGAAGGAATCCACTGATCACAGGAGAGAAGTCGCTGCACTGGAGAAAGGAAAACAGCTTAGAGTTCGCCCTTGTCAGTTCAGTCACGTATCCATGGATATGTTATTTCTGCCCTGGCTTTAAGTCACAGATAGTTTGATCTTAAAGCCTTCTCTGCATGCAGAGGTGACAGCCTGGCACAGAAGTTCTTTTAAGTTGCCCAGGCTGTATCCAGGCCTCCTTTTCTCCCAAGAGTCTTTGTGCAGTAATCCCCATATTTGTCTTTTGTATCCATTACTACCTACTCTTTATTTTTACTCAAAGAATACTATGATAGTGAATCAAAAGGGAATGAAAGACTCCGGAGAGCCAGAGCAGCAGCAGTTGTATCAAAGAGAACACTAACCAGTTGTTCTTTTTACAGAAAGCACGCGGAAAGGGTGTGTTACACGTACGAGTCATGGTGAAAGGACTGGGACCAGGACGCAAAGTAGGTATCAGAGTTTCTTTTACTATTTTTCTTTCTCAGCCGTTATCCAGGTTTTTAAATTCAGACTGGTCTCATGACTATACCTATTAACTTGTTTTTTCTGAAGGTAATGTAAAGAATTCATCACTCAAGTGCCTAGTGATGAAATTTTAGAATCACTAGAATTTTAGAGTAATTTCACTTTGGAGGCAGAATAAAAGCTGTGTCTGGGACTTCTTCCAACTAAAGCAGGAAAATTGATGGGAACGCTGATATGAATTACTTATTTTTAAGATAATTACAAAGTAGAACCATTAGAACAAGTTGATTGTTGGACAGGGGGCCAAACTATTTTCCCCTGAGCTTTTCCTTTCTCTGCTGCTCTGTGTTGATAACAGCATGTCATCTGCTGTCCTGTTCTTTCAGGCTGCCATCAAGGGTTTGACTATGGGAGGTTTGGAGGTCATCTCCATCACCGACAACACCCCGGTTCCACACAACGGCTGCCGCCCACGGAAAGCCAGACGAATGTGAGAGGGGAGTGCAAGAGACACACAGCATTCAACATCAGTTCATGCAACAGGGACTGGGTTGAATGTTGTTCCTGTGACAGACTCTGGAAAGCCATCCTCCCTGGAAACACTTGTTGAGGGAGGCTTGAAGAAGAGAGACCATCCTGGCCTTAAAAGCCCAGGTGGTAGAAGCTGGTGTAGAAGCAGGAATATGTGTCCTCCCTTAGTGGGAAGCCTCTTGTGTACAAAGTTTGTTGATTATTTTTTTTTCCTGCTGCGTTCTCAAAAGTGTTTTGAATTGTTACTGCCTCTCGACTGCTCTCTTCCTCTTACCACTGTATGTGGCTCTTGTCTAGCCCTCCATGGTATTACTGCCCTTGTTAGATGGAAAGGGAGCTCAAGGTCTAGGTCTCTGCCTAGTCAGCTGCAGTAAACAACTGCATAGGGTCACATCATCTTCCTTCCCTCGTTCTCTCACTGCACACATTTAGGGTAACTCTTCCCCTTCCCTCTGGCTTGCAGAGCTCAGTGTGCCGTGTGAGAGGCCACTCTCCCTGTTCGCACAGCATGGAGCGCTGTAGCCTGGATCTGTTATTGGCAAAGATCTGTTGCGGTGCATTGTTTCACCCGAGCTGTAGCTGGCCTGCCAAAGCTATTGGCAAATGGAAAATGCCAGTCCTAAAGGGGTTGGGATCTTGCCAGTTTTGATGCTTGCCATTTCTCATCCTGCCTTGTGCACCATGAACTGGTCGTGGGTAAAGCAAGCAGGGGTTTAGTAGCCTGAGGAACGATGAAATGCTGCCAAGATGATTTAAAACACTTAAGTCTTGAACTGTACCTCTGTATATCCACAGGCAGCATGAGCTTGTCATGGGTCTGTGATGTATTACTGCTGTCCCAGCTCCATCCAGAGAGGATTTCTGCCAAGCAAATATGTTTGGGGCTCTCGAGCATTAACCAGGGAAGGTAACAGCAGTAACTGACCACAAGATTGATTTCCTGGACAGCAGAGGCACACTGCCCAGGAAAGGGCAGCTCCTTCAAATCCACACTGCTAGAGAAGCCCAGGCCATATACAGCATAGGCTGAGCAAATTTTTCACCTGTAAACAGTGCATATTTTGGTGCAGGCAGCAGTTCTATCACAAACCCAGAATATTCCTTTCTATTATTTCTCTTTCTGTCATTCCTCCTTAGTTTCTTAAATTGCACAATTAACTATTCTCTTCCTCTTTAGAGAAAGGGTACCATGGCAACAAGGCAGTGAACCTCCTTCATGGGGCTCAGTGGCACACGGCAGGTTTTGAAAGAAATCAGTCTGCTTAGAAGAGCCTGTTGAGTTGCATTTGACAGAAGAGAAGAAAAGGTTCAGATGAATCCCCTACCTTACTCTGACCAAATTTGAACAGAGGGTAGGTTATCTTAACGGGAAGTTCCTTGAGCTGTCACAGATTTGACAGCAAGGAAGAGAGGCTCTTCCATAGATGTTTGACACACTGGAAGAGCTTTCCTCTCGCTCCAGAAATATGGCTGAGCTTCTAGTGACTGCATAGTCTCCTTTTTAAGGTGAAGATACCAGGTCAGCTATAAACCACGAAGATTAACTCCCCAAGTATCCAGGCAGCAAGCTGAGGAAGGCACGTGTGAGCACTGATGTGCCTTACAGCAAGGCAGGACTGGTTCTGTGCCAAGCAGTGATCAGCCCTGGGAAAGGAGGAGTCCCAGTCCATGCTGGCAGGCTTGTCAGCGACGTACTGTCTAACACACTGAGAAAACCAAGCACTACCATGCTCTGCCACAAGCTGCTTGTCACATCAATACAGCAGAAGTGCCCACATCAGACAAAGATGACAGAATAAATTGAAAAATAAGACTGGGAAGAGATTTGCAGTCTGTCCGAAATTCAGCGAAGAGTAGGTGGATGACTTGGGAGACAGAAAGCAGCAAGAATAAATCTTCGTCTTACCCAGACTTAGAATCAAGGCTGTGCCCTTCGTAAAGGCCACTCCTTGGTTTCTGAGCATATGTGAACATTTTATGAAGTTACCAATACACTGCCACTGCTTATGCCGTGGGAAGTTTTCTCTCCCTGCCTAGTCCTGGTACCTACCCCTACTTCTTCCTCCAGCTGATATTTATAGAGCACTCTGAGCTGGACAGAAGAGGCAGACACGATTTTCCAAGGTTCAAAGGCTGGATCTGTACAGTACCATGCATTTTTTATCTTCCAAATCCCCAGCTCCACATTCCCTCCCTGAGCTCTCTGCCACAGTGCTGCAGTTGCACAGCTTTTTGCCAGAGTCATGTTTTCCACCCACCTTCTCTCCTGCCCTGATGGAGCACCCCCAAAGCCATGTCCTACCCAAATGCTCCACCTGAGCTGTTTGTTCTGCAGCACATCCTGGGCCTCTGGGCAGTTGTCAGTGAAGTGGGAGCGTGCAGCCGTGCAGAGTACAGTGAAAAAAGTCTTAAAACTCTCTATTGTTGTTTGTCCTGCAGGGAATTTAGACACCAACAGCACTTAATGATTTCCTTACCCTTCAGATGAAACTACTAATTAAGGCCTGGGTGGAATACTGCTTTCTACTGGCTCACATTCCTCCTGAGCAGCAATTACTTCACTTGTCAGTAGCATGGTCACAGCATTAGCACGCTCATTAGGGTCACATCTACTCGCTTTGGGCTTCCCCATTGATTTGGGACATTTTTCTCTCCACTTCCTCCTAACTTTTGATTCCCTGCTCTCAAAGAAGCCTTTTTCTGTGAAACAACCTCAGAAACTGCTACTGACCACAGAGCTTCACTCTGGTTCAATTCTGGCTTTTCTGGGGTTTTACCCAGCATTTCAGAATACCACCTGAACCTTTCTCCATCACATAGGGGATGAAACACAAAACAGGGTTCTGACTTACAGATAAAATGCTACTTCAGGTTTGTTTGCCCCTCAGTGAGTGCCATACCACCTTGAGGATTTAGTCTAACTCAGTTACCTGTCCCTTGGAAAGGGACAGCATCTGGTGGCTTGGAAAAATTGCCCCCAGCCTTCTCCCTAATATAGTAGTACTCTCCAAAGAGGAATTATTTCCCTATCCCCTGCAACAAAGACTTTCTACCTAGAGCTGCAGCTTTATCTGCTGAATTGGTGATAAACTATTTCTTATGTGAGCATCTCAGTGACAAGAGTCAGGCAGCCAATTCCAATCCCTTTGTGAGATTCAATTAAACCATTAATTAAGTGATGTCAGTGTCCTTTAACAGCTGACTGTATACACAAGCAAGCGAGGAGAAGGGGACAGAGCCTGCAGTGCCAATAAACCGCAGCAGCAGGGGTGGTTTACCACAGCCCAGCTGCAGCTGTTAGGGACATCTGCACAGGTTTTGCTGGCTTTCCCTCTGGTGCGGGAATACCTGGCTCAGGATATGTACAAAGTGGGTCGATGAGTAGGTCTTTATAACCCTAAAGCACCCCTGGGGAGCCTTTGAGAGGTAGGAGTTCAAGTCAGGTTATGTTTTTGCACTCAGACTTCAGCAGATAACCACGGTGCTGCAGTCCTGCCTGATGTCCCTGCCCCTCTTCCCCTCCCAGCTGCCCCTCCAACCTCAGCCTCTGATCTCTCAGACCAAAAAGAGATCAAGGACCCTCAGATTGTTTTTGTGCTTTTCCTATGTTCTCTCCCCTCAAGAGGAATTAATGGGCACTCAACGACAGTGGGAACTGCTCAGAGGTTTCACTAATGAACTGCCTAATAGCATCCAAGTTCCCGTGCTGATGGTGAAGCGAGGCTGCAGGGTCCTCTTGGGGAGGCGCAGAGGGCAGCCAAGCCTTGATGCTATTCCTTTTTTTAAAAAAAAAAACACTCATGCCTCCTCTGCTGTGCTCTCCAAGCTCCCCCTGCACTAGTGCCACTAGACAGGGTCCTTTTCATAACTCTCTTCCTACACCCACATTTACTGAGAATCAGAGGCTGCACACCCAGACCCAAACCTCTCAGCAGCTACAGAGCCCTAGCAGCCCTTGCTTGGGAGAGCTGCTCCCACCGGCAGCGTCACAGCTTGTTTTTCTAAAGAAAGTAGGCAGAAAGAAGAAAGGTTGGGAGCAAAGGGCTGATTGCTAAGTGAGGATGCGGGTGATGAAAAGGTGGGTCAGGAAGGAGAGAGAACACGGAGGGAAAAATGCAGGAAGAGAAAATACAACATAAAAAAATGGCTAAATCTCCCAGCTGGTGGTCCAAGAGTCAGCACAGATTAAAGAAGGATGCAGAGAAGGGCTGTCCAGAACTGGGCTGAATGCACTCCCCTTTGCTGTTGTCCCAGCCAGACCTACACATCAGAAGCATGGGGTGGCCCTGCTCAGGAGCCCTCCCTGCCAGCACAACCAGCTCTTCGGGGCTTTCCCTTCACCATTTTAGAGAAGGCACAAAGAGCATCCCAAAGCTGTCTTTAGAAACTGCTCCAAAGCCTCTCCAAGTGGCAATGACAGTCCCCAAAGCCTTCCTTCTCCTTCTGAGCTGGCTCCAAAAGCCCTCCTCTGTGCCTTGCCACTTAACGATTAAATTTACAAATCCAAACTCTAAGCTTAGCAGCTGGGATTAGTGTCCACTGTGCCTCCCAGCCACATTGCTAAACACTCCAGCTTTTGGCACTTTCTCCCTCTGCTTGCTCCTCTGTGCAGGAGCAGGCCAGGCTTCCCACTGCACACAAGACTCCAGATAACAAAACCTGGGGCCCCAGGCAGGAGAAACACATTTCATCCCCCAGCCCCTTCAGCAGGTCCCAAGATGAGGTGGTGAAATAGAGCTCTCATCAGTTCATGCACCAGCCCGCAGGCAAACAACTTGCTCCCCTAATTGCCAGCCATGGCTCTCATGCAGCCCCTTGCCAAGACCTGGATGCTGCTTTTCATTTTGCTCCTGCCGAATCCCTAGCAGTAAATTATCAATTTCCTGAGCTGCCAGGGTCAAATCAACCAAGGAACACAAATGACTTTAGACGGGTCGGCCCTCTGGGCTTCTCTGTAACGCCAACAGCCGCGAAGCAGCTTGCTCCAGTGCTGGGAGATGCTGTGAAATGATCTGCCCTTGGCCATGTTTGCAAAATCAGCCCTGTTTACTGAAATCCCTGCAAGAGCAGCAGTGCAGCCAGCTGGGGAGATCCCTTTCCTAGTGTTCCTGCAGCCAAGAGTGGTAGCGCTGTCACCAAAGGACCACTGTAAAACTGGGACAGACCCTGCTGGGTCTCAAGCAGCCGCACAGCAGAGCTGCT